TTGAACCGTACAGCTGCTGTAGGGCTAGAACAATTTGGAAAGCCTTTTTAAAATACCAGTGACCGTCCATCTCCACTGAAATGTGTTCCAGCACTATGGGGTAGACTTCTAATAAATCAGTTGGCATCTATTATAGGAAAGCTTGAAACAGTGATTTCCTACAAACTATTAGCCACCTGCAGTAGGACTTCCTTATATATCATAATAGTCTGCTTTAATATGGTTCCTTTTTCACTCTGCTTTTCTTGTATGTGTAAGATTCCCCACCACCAACTGCTTGTAGAAAAAACATGGCATTTTATATCAAATTATGATTTATATCAAATATGTGCTTTGACTTCATCTAAAATTATACATGCTTTCAATCTTTGCCATGTTGCTTTTTGTTCTGAATGTGTAGATTGCCTGGAAAAAGCAGCTAGCTGGTCTGTTTTAACTCACTGAAGGGAAACTGCATGTCATGCAGGGAAAAAAAAGCTATGCTTGAAAGTGCAGTTAGCTGAGTTTAACCTCCCTAAAGTAGTCACTTCTTTTAAAGGTTAGATGCCCAGTTTGTGATGCCTGAAAGGGGAATAATGTTCACCTAGGCGGGATTGAGAATAAAACCAATCTGCCAGGCTGCAGTTCTTGCTGTGGGTGGCCTCTTTTCTTTTTTGCAAGACTTGCTGTTGCTAAGTCTTACCAACTACAAGTTTTTGTCAAGTGCACATTCTCTGCTGGTAGGAAAGTTGAGTAAGAAAATCTGTATTAAAAAACACATTCACTTTTGTAGACCAGCAACTGTAAGCTCCTTTAGTGTAGGATTATAAACTTTACAGGTAAATGTTGTTGTAGTGGCTTGAAATCTTTCCTGTGGAAGCTAAAACCCCCAAGGACTTGCACAAACTTTACGCTTTCTAAAAGATGAAGGTTTATGTAAATTTTGGCTAGATACAAATTAGCAGCATCCCTCTAACTCGCTCATTTTCTTTAGTCGACATCCCTGAATTTATGCTTGTAGCACAGCGGTAGTCTGCCGGCTGGATTGGGCCTATGGAGTCCTATCATCCAGGCTGTGGTGCTGCCTGCAGGTCTCAGACCGGCCCCGGCCCTGGCCCTGTACTTGGAACTAGGTTGGTATATGATGTCTAGGGCTGGTCCAGCATGCACGCTGTGTGCTGGGGCCCGATGTGTTTGGCGTCCTTTTATTAACTAACAAGCCCAAAGTAACAGAGATGACAAATTCATGATGCAGCATAGTAATGTAAAATCTCAAACCTTTCCTTTGAGGTAGGTACAATTAAAACTCAGCGCCCTCACTGGATAAATGCTCTTCAAGGTCTGCCTTGAGCCTAGTACGTTTCATTTCCTAGTCCAGGCCAGCGAAGTGTCTTTGTGCTGCTTATGACTCTTCATACGTGTGATCACAAGGTTTCTTTTCCTTTTGCAGGCATGACCCCTTCATTTTCAAGCTTTGCTGCCTCTCCTAGACCAAATGTGTACAACAGCACAAAGGAACCAACAGATGTTTACAATGAAACCTCAGCAAATCGGACGGATGGTGTCAACCTGACCGTCTCCAGGGCTATCGATCACCAGCAGCACTACCACCACACACATGCCAGTCAGTCGGTCCTGAAAGTGCAGCCAGCACTGGAGATGACGGGAGGTGAGAAGGCGAGCATCCCCTACAAGCCTCCCAAGAGAGGACTTAACCGCCAGAACGCCCACAAGCATTTCGATATCAATGAACATTTACCATGGATGATTGTCCTGTTTCTGCTGCTAGTTCTTGTGGTTATAGTTGTGTGCAGTGTCAGGAAAAGCTCGCGGACTCTGAAGAAGGGACCTCGGCAAGATCCCAGTACCATTGTGGAAAAGGCTGGGCTGAAAAAAACCTCAACTCCAACACAGAACAGAGAAAAATGGATCTGTTACTGCAACGGGCACGGTGAGCAATATCGCTCGGGGAAGTGACAGCAGGTGGAATATGGAGGATTGATGGGGGGTCGTGTCTTTCTCTCAACCTCTTCCAAAAATTCTTCAAGCTTTTTTTGCCTGTTTAGACTTGCCACATCTGCCATTAGCTGCAGATATCTGTAGGATGCTTTTGGTATGCCATGTTCACGTCTAGTGAATCAATCCAAAGCTTCTTTGCTTACTGTGCCTCATAGCCAGCCCCATCCTTTCTCCTTCCAGTTGCGTGCTTTTCCTTAGGCTGCCTCTTTGCTTCCTGCCTGCTTCCTCTGGTCTCTGCTTCCTCGCTCCCACCATCCCGTTTCTCCCATTGTAGTCCTTCCTGACCAGTTTTCCACAAGCCCGCTCAAGGTGTAATCTGTCCATGTCACTGCTCCTTTTTCCATCCGAATCCCTGTTAAGAGAAGCTTGAAAGAGGCAGTACCCTGCCTTCCCCTCCCTGCTTTCTTCCTCAGTCTGCACTTCGCTCCTCTGTCACCTCGGTGTATGTCTCTTGCAGTCTTTCTGCCTTTCCAACCTCTCTGCCTAGCTTTGGAGGGATAGTCCCCTTCCTGGCCAAAGCCTTGACACCAGCCGGCATCCCCTCGCCACCCTGACAACCCGTTTGCTCTTGCCCATCTAATGCTGTGCTTTCACTTATCCAGCAATACTCCCACAAACAATCTCCTGTTCCCCTTGTATTGCAGACAGCTCCTTTGCCAAGCTGGCCTCTGTAGACCATTGCTAATGTAGTCGCAGCACTAAGGCACTGAGAGGAGGCATCCTGGATCCCTTTTACATCTCCTTATTGTGATCCTACGCATGGGAGAGGCTAAGGGCCACCGGCAGAGGCGCCCCCACCTCTCTGAATTCCTTATCCTGCCATGCTCAGATTTAATCCCAATATCCTCTCATCATGATTGCAACTTGCCAGCCTGCTACAGGTGATTCCCCCTCCCATTCTACATACTTGCACCTAACGCAACAGAGGTGGAGTGGTGGTTAGCAGCGCGGTCCAGGTTGTAAAGAGCAGAAGATGGGTGCATCTGTTTTGCACCCAAACACAAACCTACTCCCTAGAAACAACCCTGCCCCTGCTAAACAATTAACCCTTCACCGTCCCCTCACCACCCTGACAGCCCACTTGCTCTTGCCCATTTAATGCTGTGCTTTCACTTATCCAGCAATACTCCCACAGACAATCTCCTGTTCCCCTTGTATTGCAGACAGCTCCTTTGCCAAGTTGGTCTCTGTAGATCATTGCTAATGTAGCCTCAGCACTGAGAGGAGGCATCCTGGATCCATTTTACATCTCCTTATAGTGATCCTATGCATGGGAGAGGCTAAAGGCCACTGGGAGAGGCTAAAGGCCACTGGCAGAGGCGCCCCCACCTCTCTGAATTCCTTATCCTGCCATGCTCAGATTTAATCCCAATATCCTCTCATCATGATTGCAACTTGCCAGCTTGCTACAGGTGATCCCCCTCCCATTCTACATACTTGCACCTAACGCAGTAAAGGTGGAGAGGTGGTTAGCTTTGATAGTCTGAAGTCAGGTGGAAGGTGGCAGCGCTGCTGAGTGCTTGGAGGCGATTCCCAGGAACTGCTATCAGCTGGTGGGGGGCAGAGGTTGGTGGTGAAGGCGAGGTGGACATGTGTTTTCCTTCTTGAATTCTGGAAACTTGTTGCTGAGCCTGACCTGGAAGAGTGCGAGATGCCTCGGGACAGCCGTCGCTGGGCTTTGGCAGAGGTCTGCAGGTGGCTTTTCTAGTTCAAATGAGGAAATGTGTGGTTGTTGTCTAGGCACTTGTAATTACTGGGTAGCATTGGGATAGATGTTGGTGTGGCTCGGGGCTCATCTCTTTATCAGTGTGACTTCAGGCACCTTACAATGGCATCCCTGTTTTACAGGTGGGAAAACTGAGGTACAGGTGAGCTGACTTGACTTACCTTCTGGTTTCACCTTGGGCCAGTGGTGAAGCTTGGGGTAGACCAGAGATCTCTCCAGTCCCAGGCCACATGGCTGCTGTAGGAATATGAGGTCATTGTCTCCCACCTAATAAACGCTATGGCTGTGCTTCAAAATGCTTGGAGTATGTGGGTACTAATTGACCAGGTTTTCCACGTTCAGTGGACTCCTTACCCGGCAAGCCAGTTAACTTGTCAGAGAAGGAAATTAGATTAGTTAGACTCAGCTTTTTTCTTGACAAATCCTGGTTGGCTTTTTCTTACCACCATGTATTCCTCTAGGTATGTGTACATGAACTGAATTGTTTTAGTGCTTTTATGGGGAGTGGAGTTAGACTGAGTAGTCTGTAATTTCTTGGGACCTTGTTTTTCCCATTTTAGATGGACAAGCTGTTTTCCCATCATCTTTTGAGAACCTTCCCCATCCTCCATGAGTGCTTTAGGACAGATGTTGGCAATCCAGCTGTTACTTTGGTTATTGCCTTAGATACTCATGGGCAGATTTCATCAGGCTCTGCTCATTTAAGTACATCTAGCTGACCTATGTGTTGTTTTCCTGTTCTGGCCTGCACTTCTATCCCATTGTTTGGATGGTTTTAATGATCTCATCACAATTAATCTTTAAGGCCTGAAGCAAAGGCAGCATTGGGTACTGCATCCTTTTCTGCATCAGCCATTATTTTGTTCTCATTCCTCATTAAATACTGTGATAGACCTATAGTTTCTTTGGGTTTTCTTGTATTTCTAAAACTGCTTCTTGTTGCTTTTTCTGCCACTTGCTAGCTGTAGCTTGTTTTGTACTGTAAACTTTCCCATTTTAGCCCTGCATGCTCAAGCTATTCCTTTTATACTTCTAATTAAGCATGTGTTTTCCTTTCTGTATCTTTTATATACCTCTGTTTTTCAATTTCAAGTCCTTAGAAAGCTCTCAAAGCAGGCACATTGACCTCCGATTTGCACTTTTGATCTTGCATTGGATCGAGATTGTGCACTTCAGTATAGTCTTTCAGTAATTGTTCCCTTCCCTGCACTCTTAACCAGTTCTCCTAAGGTGATTTTTTTGCACTTTCTGATGTTGCCTGAAGAAGAGCGTGAGATGCCATACTAGGTCAGCCCACAGGTCCTTGGAGCCCAGTATTTTGTATCTCAGTGGCACAGAATAGATACTGTGGTGGAGAGCATTTATGACTGATCTGTCCCATACCCATCTTCCCTTACAGCTTCCACCATTTAGAGACCCCCAAAGTCCTAATTTGGTGCTCGCACCTGAACTCTGAAGTTTATTTATTGCTAAAAGTCTCTTTTTGTGCGGCTTGGTTGTTGGAAGTTCATTATTTGTAAATATTTTGCTCAGTGTGGGTCCAATTCAATGGTTACAGCTTGTACCCTTCCAGCTCTTGTAAAATATGGGTGGTTCATCATCCTATAACCTGTATGACGACACTTGCTAAATTTGTATATCCCATTTTCCATCAGATGTGTTATTGCAAGAAATATATTTAGGCGATGACCTGTATTCCAGGAATACCATCCTTGCTTAGTCTTAAACTTGAATTGTAAACCTCTGTGGCCCATGCAGCACTCCTAATTCCAAAGGAACTGGAATAAGAGCACTTGGATCAATGATCCTTACCTCGGGTGATGCAGCTTCCTGGGATGCCAGTAGATCCTTTTAAGGGTGGCATGGGATGTCCCTGGCATGTGACTCACAAAATGAACCCAGAGATGTCAAATGGGCATCCAGAGCATCAAGGCTCCTCTGCCCTGCTGTGCTTGTTCTGAGTTCCCTGCTCAGGAGAACTGCTCTAATATTTTTTTTTCCCATGGTCAAAAAAACCAAGTGAAAGCTAAGAGCTGGCATTTCCAAAGGGAACCTTGCGTCTAAGTTAGAGATTGAGACCTGCTAATTTATCAAGCCTCCTGTAGGCAACGGGGCTGGCAAACCTTATAGCAAAGTAGGATATCCTTTTGCTCTGTCTCCTGAGCCCTGGGTCATCCTGATCAGGGAATTTCCTGGAGAGGGTGGAGGAAAGGGATCCATGTGCATCCATTTTCAGCGTGTGAAGCCTCCTGTTCATCTGTTTTTTGTAGCTGGATGAGAACGCAGCGCAGCGGGATGAACATGGCATAAATTAATAGCTTGGGGTTGTGTGACCTATTTCGGTTGTCTCCATGGATGAACTTACTCCCTTAAGGGATCACCATGCCCTGTCTCAGCTGCTCACCCCAGGCCCGGCGCTGTTTAGTGTCTTGCCACCAACATCCCTGTTCTCAACTTTCATATGGGGTAGAGGGTTTTTTTTCCCCCTGTGCTAACTCAAGGAAGCAAACTGGCTAAGACTCTCTAGAAGAGCATAATCCTCCCCCACTTCCCCTCCACCCCATCCTGTCACCCACGTGGGGGAGAACGTAGAGTTGACAAGCCTTCCTCCCCTTGCCGCAACCACAGGGCCCCTTCCTTTGCACGTGTCATTTAGCTGCTTTTTGCCAATAGTTTGGGCCGCTCTGCTATTGCAGCAAAATTTTGACTTGGAGATCCATTATAACCCCTATTCCTCTTCTCCCATGCTAGAGATCTCCCAGTTGGTATTTTGTACTGTCAGTTTGAAAGTCTGTGGCTTGACAATGCAGGCAAAATGAAAGAAACCCGTTAATACTTTGTCTAACTGCAAATGCAGCTGTAGCACAGGCAGCACCGGTTCGGGTTTCCTTGCAACAGACTGTTTTAATTTGGTGGCTTTCACCAAAATGTCTCTGATGCCGAGTTAGTTTCTTCAGGGGGTTTGTGGACACATTTCTCTGGTTAAGTACCAAGCAGATCTGACTCTTATGCCCCCATCTCTTGGGAATAAGAAGCCAGGATAGTGGAAATTCAGGGGGAGCGCTCTGTTCATTAAATTAACCCATCACAAAACTGTGAACGCCTTGAAAACAAACCCAAGAGGACCGAAGCAAAGCAGATTGGCAGAGTTTTGCTCTCGGATGTAGGAGCAGTTTGGGTGCACGCAGGGTAGGGGGGGAAATCTC